CTTTGGGCTCCCTCAGTGATGAACTGTGACTCTGGAGATGTAAGGTAAATAAACCCTTTCTTCCCCAAGTTGTTATTGGTTAGAGTGTTTTGTTATGGCAATTGAAGGCAAGCTAGTACATAGAGATATATGAATCATGCATTACAGGGTTTTGTTTTACATTTTTACATTCAGTAAGCTTTATACTTACTTTTCTGTTACTATCTAGTGCACTTGTTTTTCAATTCAAAGGAGTCCCTTGAACATTTTCTTATCAGACAGGTCTAGTGGTCATGAACTCACTCTAAGTTTTGTGTATCAAGAGAATTTTTTTCTTTTTCCTTAATTTTTGAAATTTTGGCAGTTTTTCACATATGGTATTCTTGTTTTTTCAGGTTGTTTTTTTTTAATTCATCATTTTGTTTCCTTCTTGCTTGTAAAATTTCTGCTGAAAAATTTTCTGATAGGCTTATGATTTCTGAACAATCCCATGATTTAAAATCATCAATGATTTAAACTCTGAGTATGAAGAAACATTGAGTTATGCGAAGCCAGATTTCAAGATAGTTAATAACAGTATTTATCACCTCAGTTTCAATTTAAGGTAAAATTGGAGGGTTCCCCCTCCCCCACTTGCTTCTGGAGACTCAAAGGTTAAAAAGCAGGCAGCGCAAGAGCTGGTAATGACATTCAGGTAAATAAATGTGCATGTATGATATTTCATTAGAAAAATGTCAGTTCATACTTTTAGGTAAAAATTAACCACAGACACATTTAATTTGTGTAATTCTAATGCAGTAGCTTTGGTTTATTCTTTCTTCTTCAGTGGGCATTTAATTTGGGTTATTATGCCTAAAGAACTACATTAAATCCAAGATTATTTACAGTAGCATCTCTAACATTGTTTCTTGATTTATGAACTTGCCAGAGAAAAAGCCAAATATATTTTTTGGGATAAGGCTCTTAAAGAAACTATACTTTTAGGTATAAATACAGTATTTTTAATCTCTCTCCTGGCAATATAATTGAAACATTTGTGTAAAAACCACAAGATTAAATTACTATTTAATAAAATGCCACTCACTAAGTGCTCTAATTGCCTTTCCCAGAACTAAAGACCCATTATAGTGTCCTGGTAGAAATCATCACATAAAGGATAATTCATTGAGACCCATGCAAGACAATTTAAGATAACTTTTTGCTTTTAATTAAGATGGGAAATAAGGCAGTTCAAAAAATTATCTCCTTTCATTTGTCTTAGGTGAGGGGGGTAGAATTTTGGTTCTAGTGTCACCCTAGCATTTGTTTGAAAACATGATAAATTCTGGTTGTATGCTGTGAGGCTGTAGCCACTGTAGGGTGAGTCCCACATGCCATCATGGTCTAGTATGGCAAGGATCATTAGTGGATTCATTTTTATCTGTCCATGATTTGGGTAGTAGGGTTAAGACTTTATGTTTCCACCTAAATATTGAATTAGAGTCGATTCCTTCTAAGCTTAGAAGAAGGAGGCATTCTAAGTAAGATAGAGCAGATAGAGGAAATTAACATATTGGACAACAGTCCTTTGATATATGGGGCATGGAAGGTTATTTTTTAGTACTACAGTTTTGGTCTATTAAGACCATGATTATAGTAGAGAATCATAAATTAAATATAATTTTTAAATAGGGTCTTTTATATAGTCTGGGCTGGGCCTAACTTACTGTATAGTCCAGGTTGTTCTCCAACCTGTAGTCCTCTTGCTTTGGCATCCATGGTACTAAGTTTGCAGCATGTGCTATGTGCACTTATTTAATTGAATTTTTAAAATATTCATATTAGGCTGGTGAATATTCATTATTCACACACCATGCAATTTACCCATTCAAGTGTACATTTCATTTTTTAAAAAAAATAAAATTGAACAGGCATTGCCACAATCAGTTTGAGAACATTTTCATTACTGTCAAAAGAAACATTACATTTATTAGTGGCCAGTCTCTGTCCTCTTTTCTCTGTTCCTTACATGGTTCTAGGAAACTGTTAAATCTACTTTCTTTCACTGTAGAGTTGCCTATTCTGGCATTCTATACATATAAATTAGATCATACAACATGTGGCCTTTTATGATTGTCTGTTTTCACTTAGTCTGATGTTTTCAAGGTGTACCCATGCTTTAATATGTTATCAGTAATTCGTTTCTTTTTATGGCTGAATATTGGTTCTATTTAGTTATATTCTATTGTATTTATTCCTTTATCATTGATGAACATTTAGATTATTTCTACTCTTTGGCCATGCTGAAAAATACTTTGAACATTTGTTTACAAGTTAAAAATTATTGTGTGTGTGTGTGTGTGTGTGTGTGTGTGTGTGTGTGTATTCACATGCCATGGTGCATATAATTTAAGTCAGAGGACAACTTGCAGAGTCAGTCTTCTTCCATCATATGGGTTCTGGGGATTGAACTCAACTTGTCGGGCTTGGTGGCGAGCACCCTTAATTGCCGAACCATCCCACAGCCTCTCATTTACAAGTTTGTGTTAAGTACGTATTTTGTTTTCTCTTAGTTATCTCAGATTATAATTGCTGTATTATAGGGCAATTCTTTTTAGCCATTTGAGGAACTGCTCAGTGGTTCTCAAAGGGGCTATTTTCCAAAGGTCTGTACTGATTTATATTCTACCAGGAGCACTTCAGCATTCATAGCCTTAATAACATTTAATCCTTGTCCTTTTTTTGGGGGGGGGACCTAGAAATCATTATGTAGATGAAATGACCTTGAACTTCTAATTTTCCAGTCTCTCCTGACTGGGATTACATGCATGTGCCACCACACCTGGATCATATTGTGCTGGGAATCAGATCCAGGCTTTGTGCATTTTAGGCAAGCACTTTGCAAACTGAGCTGCATTCATTACTGTTGTCTTTGTGATTGCAGCCTTCTTGTTGAGTGTGAAGTGCTATCTTAATGCTTTTTGTTTGCTTTACATTATGGCCAATAATAATATTGAACGTATTTTCCCTTATGTTGGCCTTTTATCTTCCTGGGGAAATGCATATTCATATCCTTTGGCCTCTTTAAGTTGGATTGTTTTTCTTGCCTTTATTGAGTTGTAAGCATTCTTTATATAGTCTGTCTAGATAGATAGGAGACTTACAAATATTTTCTCATGTTCTATGGTTTGCTTTTTTTTTTTTTTTACTTTCTTAATAGTATTTTTTGAAGGAAAACCTTTTAAATTTATTTGTTATTTTGTGTATATTTGATGTATGTATATGGGCACGTGTGCCATAGTGAGCATGTAAATGTCATGACAACGTCTGTGAAGTCAGTTTTCTCCTTTTACCTTTAATGTGGGTTCTAGGAATCAGTGGCAAGCACCTCCTGCTGTGCCCTCTCACCAGCATGGGCAAGCATTTGTAATTTGATGAAATCCATTTCTCTTTTGTTGCTTGAGCATTTGTTATCATATCTAAAGGTTTTGCTTAATCCAACATCACAAAGTACTCTCATATTTTTCTTAGGTATTTTATAGATTTAGCTGTTAGATTTAAGTTTAAGATCCATTAAAGTTAATTCTTACATTTCACATAGGAAACGGGTCCAATTTCATTGTTCTGCATGTGAATATCTAGTTGTTACGACTTTTATTTCTTTTTTAAAAATTAATTTTTAAATTTTAGTGTATAAGTGTTTTGCCTGCATGTATGTAAAGGCACCCATGTGTGCAATGTCCACAAAGCCAGAAAAGGATATTGTATCCCCTAGAACTGGATTTAGGGATGGTTCTTCATTGCCATCTGGGTGCTGGGAGCCAAACTTGGTCCTCTGGAAGAGCAGCCAATGCCCTTGATCACTGAGTCACCTCTTCAGTCCCTGATATTATGTCTTTTCTCCCCCCTCCCCCGTCTTTTGAGACAAGGTCTCCCTATCGCTGTAACTCACAATTTCAACTAAGGTGGCTTCAGTCTCACAGATATCTGCCTGCCTTTACCTCCTGAGGGCTGTGAGTAAAGGAGTGTGCCACCTCGCAAGAATTCAAATCATGTTTCTTCCTGGTTTTGAACTAGTATTATTTCTTAACTAGTCTCCCCTGCCCGTGTTTTTTTCTTGTCATCTTTATTCACTGTCATTTGATGACTCTAAATATATGTATTAATTTCTGGAGTCTGCATTGTATTTTATTAAGATATATTTCTATCCTTTTGTTAGTACCATACTTTTCTAATTATTTTGGCTTTGTAATAAGTTTGGACATGGGACATATAAGTCTTCAAATTGTGTTCCCTATTCAAAATTGTTTTGACTTTCCAGAGTCTCTTGCTTTTGCATATGAATTGTAGGTCTAGTCTCAATATTGGCAAAAAATCCATCTTAAATTTTAATAGGGACTGTACTGAATGGAGATCAGTTTGGGAAATATTACCATATTACCAACATGAATAAATTGCCTCTTTTATTTATTGTGTTATACATAGAGATTGAAACAGAGGCACTTTAAACTATTAACCTCTGTTTATTTCATACTGGAGTAACCTAATTGAATATATCAGTATGTGGAGTTATTTATTGTTTATATAGGTTAAGTGTTAACTGTTTGTTGGAGTTATACACTTCTTTGGGGTAGATGAGATCTTAACAACTTTTGTATTGTCCAGAGAGTTAACATCATAATTGTGTAAGAAATATACTTCTTTTTAAAAATTTTGTTTTTGTTTTGAGACATGGTCTCCCTGTAGCCCTAGCTGTCTTGGACCAGGCTGGCCTTCTTCTCTCAGAGATCCATCTGTGCCTCCTGAATGCTGGGATTAAAGGCATGTGCCACAGAAATATACTTTTCTGACTGATGTTTAGAAGCTGATTATAGAAGACATAGAACAGTATTGTGGAGTTGCTGCTAATAATGTATAGCTGACTGGAGTTTTTGTCCCTAATTCATCCACAGTCATATTATTCCTTTGAAAGAGATCAACAATGTTTTATAGACTGTTTTCAGAACAAGGCATAATTAACATATTCTTTAAATTAATCTTAGGTACCAAATCTTATTCCAGTTTTGCTGTTCAAATTGGGAAGGCCACTAGATCCTGTATTATACAATGATATATTGTATACTTTACCTGCACTTGGTGTTCACAAGGTTGGTATTAACCAGTTTACTTGGGAGAGAGGAGGAAACAAAACCTAAACAGTTGGTGCATTGAATTCTATTTGGTCTTATGAAAAATTTTTTTACTTTTTAAAAATATTTTTTATATATTTTATTATTTTTATTTTATGTATATAAGTGCATTGCATGTATGTAGTTGCATCTCTTGCAAAGGTCAGAAGAGCATGTTGGATCCCCTGGAACTGGAATTATGAATTGTTGTTAGATGCTATGTGGGTGCTGGAAATTGAACCGGGGTTCTCTGGAAGAGCAGTCCCTGCTCTTAACTGCTGAACCATCTCTCCAGCCCTTTGACCTCATGAAATTTTTAGCTCTAAATTTTGTCATGATGATTGCTTTCCCTTTTGCTTTTAAGAGTAAATAATGTATAAAGACAAACTATTATAATATTTAAAAATTCTTTTAAATCTAACATCCATATTTTCACACTGACTGTTGATCAAGCCTTGTGGTCACTTGGTTTGCTGCCCAGCTCTCCCAAAGTTATTTCCCTTTTCAGGAGATGGGTAGTAGCTCTGTAAGCTTCTGTTCCACCTTTTATTTTATAATAAAGAGTTTAAAATGCCCTTTACAATCTTGAAGTTGCCTCTGTTATGAAACCAAAAATTTTCATAATACTTTTTTCTAGGTATGCATAGGACAGATTTTGCGAGTAATTCAATTGCTTGGCACCACTCCACAACTAAGGGCCATTACTTTGCGCCTTTTGACATCTCTGTGGGAAAAGCAGGTAAACTAAGATATGTACTTATTGCATATTAAACATGTTCTTTTCACTGAAGAAAAATAATTCTGTGACAGTGCTCTGATTTAGTAATATTAATGTCACCAATGCAATCATTGAGGCACTTTGATTTATTATGATGTATGTGATTCATCAGGTATACAGTCAGTTGAACTTAACTCAGAAATTGAGAACATAAAATAATCTTATCTCCCTACTTCTGAAATTTATGTCTCCATTTGGATGATAAAGTAATAGAAATATGGTTTTAATTAGAGCTTTTGTAATTAGGATGAGATTTAGCAACTTTCTCCTTGTTTTCTGGTTGAGCATGGGTCTGGAACAAAATCCTCAGCAATCACAACAGCATTCTTCTCTGCTGATTAGGAGAAATACATGATAATTTTCAATGCAAATATAATATCTGGAGGTGAAAATAGGGCATAATCATTATTCAGATCAAGTTAGGATGCTACCTTTTTTGTTAAATTGCCTTATTAGGATCGTGTGTATCCTGAACTGCAGCGCTTCATGGCCATGTCTGATGTGCCTGCTCACTCTGTGGGCAAGGAGCTCCACTGGGAGAAACTGATTGCAAAAGCAGCGTCAATCAGAGATATATGTAAACAGAGGTAAGATGTGCTTACTTCTTCAGAGTGCATATCACCATATGTTATCTTCACTTTTTTTTTTTTTTTTTTTGAGACAGGGTTTCCTGGTAGTCCTAACTGGCCCCTTCTGGGTAATTTAATGTTACAGTAAGATAAGTTATGTTTTCTATTTTTCTGCATATTAATCCAGGGAAATTAAGCAATAGACTGTAGCTATAAAATCTTTGTTGTTTTATTTTTGAGACTGGGTTTCATTCCTTGTACTCGTGATCCTCCTATTTCAGCCTCTTGAGTGGTGAGATTACAGATAGGTGCCATGTGCACTTAGGCCTCATTCTTGTAAGTACTTTGAGTAGTAAAGGTCTCATTTGTGACACACTGTATCAAATTGTTGTAAGAAGGGAGAAAAGGATGTTGAATTTCCTTGTATTGGATAAGCTTTTCAGAAGGCGTGCAGACAGAGAACTGGCTCTGCCATTCTAGATTCTAGATAAGCAAGCTGAAGAGCTACGAGTGAAGTAACCCAAGCAAAGTTCTACTTCCATCTGGTGCTAGAGAAAATGCATTAGAGGAAACAAATTGGGTGCATTTGGTATCATTTGTAGTCCAGTATCTTGACTTGTCACCTACACTGCTGCACTGAAGAATTGCTCTGAGCATATTCTTACTTTTTTCAAGGGCCCCAGTATGAATGATGCTTTCCGAGGATGAGGATGTGCAATAGGTTGACCCAGTTGCTGACTGCATGGATTATTCCTGTTTCAAGTAAAATCTTGAGTCAGACTGTATACGAATCTAAGCCCTAGCAATTCTGCCTTTTTTTCTCAGTCTTTTTACAACATGATAATAATTGTGCAAGTAAAGTTACACATATGCAATTAAAGATCTGGCTGTCTGGATATTGATATCTTGGCATGGAACACATATCAGAGATGCAAAGTTATTAGCTGACATTCTTATTTTACACAGTTAAGGATGAGGCGTTAGAAAGTTTGGATATCAGAGTAGATAAGTCTTGGGTAGCTTATTCATGTCCCTTTTTTTCCTACCCTCAAATATTTTAAACTTTTTCCTGTTTTGGAATATCATTTTCTTTTTTAAAAATAAATAAATTTATTTATCTGTTTATTTTTGTGTGTGCTTGATATATATGTTTTTGTACAAGTGAAATAGCTTGCTTGTGCAGATCAGAGGACAGCTTTGTGGAGTCAGTTCTTTCTTTCACCTCTATGTGGGTCTTGGGTGTTGAACTTGCATCTTTCAAGATAAATGCCTTTACCCCCCTGAACCATCTCATCAGCCCTGGGGTGCTTTTAAATTCCAGGTAAGAGTGGTTAGCAGCAACAAAGTAGGTGGTGGTTGGAAGACTTGCTCAGGGAGTGCAAGTTGGAGCAGAATAGCCATTGAGCTGTTTGGTTTTTTATTGTATTGCTTGGCTCTCTGCTCTTTCAGACTCCAACAGGATCCTCCAAGCGGCATATTATATATAGAATGATAGCCATCAAATCAAACAAATGTCCTATGAAACTGTTAATTCTCAGAGAAATTAAGAAAAAATATGAGCATATTTTGGATCACATTTACAACTATCTATGGTCAGTTGCCCGTGGTCTTTGATCCATTCTAAGTTGGCGTCTATATAGTATACAGTGAGAGTTCTTTCTTTTCTTTTTTTTGGGTCTTTTTGAGACAGGGTCTCCCAGTAGCCCCAGCTGGCTTGGAACTCGCTATGTAGACCAGGCTGGCCTTGAACTCACAGAGATCGGTCTGCCTCTGCCTCCCAAGTGCTGGGATAAAAGGCGTGCACCACCACACCAGGCAAGGGTTCTAATTTCTTTCCTTTTGTTACAGGAAACTCAGTTTTCTGAGCACCATTCATTGTCAAGATTACACTTTCACTATTAAATGGTCTTGGCAGTTTTTAAAAAGTTTTTACAAAATCTTTATTGAGAATTTCATACATGTGTATAAGGTGTTTTGATCAAATTCATGCCCACTCCCTCCCCTCTAACATTCCCCCCTATGAAGAGGTAACCCTAAAATCTTTCACGGATTAGATACAAGCTCCCAAATACTGACATTTTTGGCCTTTGGAACAGAGTATGTTGCTAACAGGCCCAAGGACATTTTGACTTTTAGCCAAGAAACTGGCTACATTTCTTTGGGGTCTTGTTACCCTAACTGCCTAGTCAATTCCTACCTCGTATTCTTATCACACCATCCTCTGAAGAGGTTACCCAAATTGCCAACAGGGAATAGGGATGCCAACTGCTCTGGCTTCTTCCATGCTGAACAGGGATGTAGGGTGAGGCAATTGGAGTACCCCTTCAGTGAGTCTATCTAAAAGACTCCCAAAAGAAAGTCCTTGTATCATGAATAGGAGATGTGAAGGAGAAGAAAGGCAAGAATAATTAGCAATACAAGTTCTAGACAGGAATATCATTTTCATTTGTGGGAGAATATGCTAAGAAATGCTGTCAAACAATTTCATCTATTGACAGTTTGTTAATAAGAGAAAAAAAATATTATCATTGAAGCATTCAGAAAGTATACCCAACTAACTATGAAGTTAAAGGAATTCTGGGGATGGCACAATATATGTGGCAGAGGTAGGAGAACATGGGTGAATACAGTGCCTGTTATGAGATAGGTGTACAATCACTTATCATGTAGGTTAGTGTATTTATCATCATCATTATAAGAGAAAGATAATTACCCTATTAGTATCACTGCTGCCATAAATTATCTTCTGTTCTAAAATGTCTGCTATTGTAGTCAGTATCTGATATCAGAAGCACCACCAGGCAGCAATAGTTTTGCCTTTACCAATAGTCTCAGTAAGATAAGTTCATTAATTTTAGCATTATTATATATTCCCAATGACAATAAAATTTGTTATTTAGGGAGAATAGAACTTGGTGAAAAGTATCTTCTTGGGGGCTGCAGAGATGGTTCAATAATGGGTAAAACGTTTGTTATGTAAGCTTGAGGACATGAGTGCAGGTTCCCAGCACCCACATAAAAGGTGGGCATGGTGGTATGTGTATCTAACCCCAGTGATGGAGGAGTAAAGGCAGGTGGATCCCTACAATTTTCTGGCCAGCAAATCTAATTGAACAGGTAAGCTCAGGTTCAGTGAGAAACTCTTTCAGAAAAAAATGAGGTAGAGAGAGACCCAGTGGCACCCAGTGTCAACATTTTGCCTTCATATGTGCCTGCATATGTGAGTGAACTGCATGGGCAAAGTGTATTCCCCTGGGTGGCTATACCCCCACACACAAATGCCCCATACACAGAGTTTTAAAAACTATCTTCTTTTTTGATACTTCTGAATAAAAATATGGATTGAATGTCAGAAGAAATGACCATAGTACAGAATTTTTGAGGAACATATGATGTTAGTGTTTGAGAGTGAATCTTTAGCAGGTACAGGTGTAAATAAAGACATTATAAAAGATCTGGGATAGTAGTATCTCTTCAGCTTTAATTTTGATTTGAACTGGTCATTTGTTGTAGGCCCTATCAGCACGGTGCAGACATGCTGGCAGCTATTTCTCAGGTACTCAATGAATGCACCAAGCCTGATCAAGCCACTCCAGCAGCCTTGGTACTACAAGGTCTTCATGCACTCTGCCAGGCTGAGGTAGGCATTTCTGAATTCTTTTGGACAACTCATAAGATATTTTACAAGGATATAAAAATTTCAGATGGGAGTAACTTAAAGTTTCAGTATTAATCCTGACACTTTTTGTTTGAAAGACTAGAGCAGGTCCTATTTTATAGATTCTTTCCTGAGGGGAGACTTTTGTAAAAACCTATTTTTATTAGTTCTTTGAGAATTCATACATGTGTTTTCATCATATTTAATCCTTCTCTCCCAACTCTTCCCAGATCTATCTTACCTCCCTACCCAGCCAACTTCATATCTTCTCACTCTCTTTTTTTAAGCCCATTTGTATTGCCCATATACTCTTGGGTGTGAGACTGTCCACTGGACCATGGTCAACCTACCAGAGGCTACAACTTTTAAAGTAAACTGACTCTTCTCTCCCAGCAGCTATTAATTTCCAAAAGCTTCTCATTTAAAGGTGAGACTATGTACCAACCTTCTCCTTCAATGTTTAGATTTTTTTCTGTCTTGAGCTTGTGCATGTTGCCACAATTGCTATGAGTTCATATGTGCAACTGCATTGTTTTTTTCTGGAAAACACTGTTTTGTGGTAGTCATTGATGACTACCTTTGGCTCTTACAATTATTTTATCCCATCTTCTGTGATGATCCTTGAGTTTTGGGGTGTGTGTGTGTGTGTGTGTGTGTGTGTGTGTGTGTGTGTTACAGATGTCCTATTTTGGTTGAGTACTCCATAGTTTCTTATTCTCTGCACATTGAACTTTTGTGGGTCTCCATGTTAATCCCCAACTACTGCAAGAATAAGCTTCTTTGATGAATGCTGAAAAGAAACACTCATCTTTGAACAATAAGTCATTAAAAGTCTGTTTAATACAGACTTTAGTAGAATAATTGTAGTAGGTTCTCACCCATTGGCCAGAACATTTGACATTCTCTAGAGACTAAAGAAAACCCAACTTTTGTATTTCCCTTAAAAGGGAAATTTATGTTTATAGAACCCTTGAGTGTATTTGCTTTTTTTTGGGGGGGGGATCGTTTTTGAGACAGGGTCTCCCTGTAGCCCCAGGTGGCCTGGAACTTACTATGTAGACCAGGCTGGTCTCGAACTGAGAGCTCTGCCTGCCTCTGCCTCCCAAATGCTGCAGTTAAAGTTGTGTGCCACCATGCCTGGCACTCCTTTATTTTGTAGTTAGAGCCTTAGAATCAGGCGAGGTGAAGAAATTATCATAGGTCAGTGATACTTTTCTAGTCAGCTTAGCTTGAAGATTGGCCAAGGAATCTTCCCTTCCTAGTGATTAGACTTTGTAGAGTATATGAAAAGTAGAACTGAAACTGCAAATCATTTTCTGAACACTAAATCATTACAAGTGTTACAGTGTAACAGAGAAACTATTGTTTTAAAGAAATATGATCATAATATCAACATTACTTACTGGCCTTTAGTGCTTTTGATGTTGTGAACAAGCATAATGTAGGTTTTTTTTTGTTGTTGTTTTGTTTTTTTTTTCTCTTTTTGAGACAGGGTCTCCCTGTAGCCCCAGCTGGCCTGGAATGCACTATGTAGATCAGGCTGGCCTTGAACTCATAGAGATCCTCATGCCTCTGCTGGGATCAAAGGTGTGTACTACCACTCCCGGCCACCAAGAATAAGTGGAATTCTCTTACAGTTATAGCTAATCATGATGCTATAATAACATAAGCAGCAACTGAATTGAGTATTTTTGTGTTCACATCCTCGTACCAAACACTTTTCATGCCTGTTTCAACAATGCCAATATAGAAACAGTGTTTTGCCTTTGAGGAATGAGAGATGTCAAATATTTGCTCAGGATCTTGGTTTCACAGTAGGCTTGTATGAATACTTCTTCACATAGTGAACATAATCACTGTTCAGAAACTGATGTGTCCTTAGGGTGATGCTTTCAGATCTGATGTCCATTTTAGTACTTCAAAACAGAAGACTAATCAATCCAGTAGGTGACTGCTCAGAGAGCTAAAGACTTCTGGTTTCTCTTGCTTCGGTCAGTCACCTGGCATTGGAAGTGCTACTTTAACAATTATTTTCATACTAAGTAGCTAAATCTTATTTTTCAAACTTTTTTTTTTTTTTTTAAAGACAGGGTCTTCTTTTAGCCCTGGATAGATAGCATGGAACACACTATGTAGACCAGGCTGGCCTTGATCTCATAGAGATCCAGGGGTGGCTTGGATCTCATAGAGATCTGTCTGGGACTAAAAGCATGTGCCACCACATCCAGTTTAAAACAATTTTTAACAGCAGCTTTGAAAAAACAAGGCGTTACGGACTTCCACTTCCAAAAGTGGATCATTTTTACCATTTTGAAGTATTTTTTATTTTTCCCCCAAATTCTAATCATAATTTAGTCTTATTGTTTCTATAATTCAATTCTTTTCTTCCCCTCCTCTGCTATTATTATGTCTTTTGATGTTTATTAACTCATAAGAAATGCCCTGTGTTCAGGACTATTTTTTCTAATTCCATTTACCAAATATATCCTTACTAATTTCAGTTACTATTGAACATATGAAAAATGTTGCCTGATGTGGAAGAAAACAGCTTTGTTTTTAGTCATTCATGGACATATATCTGATAAGTACCACTAGTGTGTCAATTGGCTTAACCTCTGTGAGACTTTGCTTCTTAAAATTAGGTTAATAAGACCTCACATACAGAAACACCCTAGCCTCATATGTGCCTGTATTGATGCTATCTAGATGTCCAACTTGTCAATTGAATATAGTCTGTCAAGGAGGTTCTGAATAGTTCTTTGATTTTTCCCTTGAAACTCGTATAATATGTGATAGTGATTTAATTTCTTCTTTCAAATGGCATTCTGCTTTTTCACTATCAATTTAACATTGCTTCATTGTATACTTAAAGAAGACCATTTGAGATTCTTAATACATAGCCCTCAATGCATTTTCTAGTCTACAGAGTTACCCGTAAAAATAATTTTGAATCCAGTTCTATATTGTATTTCCTTGCTTCTCAGAATCTTCTGTCGTTTAGAGGAATTGAGGGGTCATGTCTAGGCATTTTATTTAATAAAGTCCATCTCTTACTTACTTTGCTAAAATAAAGGAAATTTCCTTCCCATTTGTTCTCCTGTTAACATTAAGCAGTTGAAATCTCCCATGAGATTTTAAAATAAAAATCTTCTTTTTTAAGAAAATTACTTTTATGCATATGAGTTTATTGCTCGTATGTATGTAAGTGGACCCATGTCGTGCAATGAGGTCAGAAGAGGGTGTTGGAGTCCCTGGAACTGGAATTGCAAACAGTTGTTTGCTGCCACGTGGGTGCTGGACCCGTGTCCTCTGGGAGAGCAGCCAGTGCTCTAAGCTGCTGAGCCATTTCTTCAGCCACCATAAAAACTTCTTAATGTGTTGCAAATGAAACAAGAATCTAGTATGTCATCTGTCTAACATTAGCTGTAGGTCCCCTTAAATCCTTTTTGGCAATAAGATGGGCATTATTAAATAATGGAGCAATACAGTCAACTAGTTTATTTTATATGGAAAATTCTTCTTTTACTTTTCTCTTTTATGGCCTTTTAAATACAGGGTCTCCCTATAGCCTCAGCTGGCCTGGAACTCACTGTGTAGACCAGCCTGGCCTTGAGCTCACCGAGATCTACCTGCATTTATCTTCCACATATTGGGATCAAAGGCGTTTACCACCATACCCAACATAAAATTCTTATTTCTTTATCCTTTTTTTTTTCATGTGTTTCTTGTCTATAGGGTGAACTATTTATTGATGCTTTATAGAGAAAGACAAATGTTTTATACAATGTTTTCATTATAATCATTACAAGATTCTGAGGTGTTTTATTTTTGTTACTGATGAATTACTAGTAGTTTTGCTAAAAAAAACATGTTATTTAATGCTTAGTAATGAATAGATGAATATGTTCATCTAAATAAGTAGAAATAATTCTTCCCTTTGATGAGCCATGATGGTAGATATATGTTGTTTTATGTTCCATTGTGAAGTTGCTGCTGTTCTGTCCTGTGATGCTAAAGTCATGAAATTTACTCAGTTTAGCAGCTCTTGTTTGGCTATATTTACTGATTTTGTCTTTGTTGTGCACGCCCCAGGAATCAGCATTCATTCTTTTTTCTAACTCATATTATGTGTGAAACCCTGGTGTAGCTCCCGACTTCAGAACGAAAAAAAAAAAAAAAAAATCAGCTTAGTCCTAAATGTTTCCCGGAAGTATTCAGTCTTGATTTGTATCTTATTATTTAGGTCATTGATTATCAAATATTAACAGTATAGAAAGACAACCTGAAGTATTTCTGTAAAGATAAGACAACAAACTGAATAATCCTAGCTTTGAGAAAAGATACCGATTTAGAATTGAATTTTGCAGAGCTTTCCGAACGTTGTTTATGTGTAAGGGGCAGTGTTTCTGCCCCCTTAAGGTTGGTAGGTAATGAAGTCTTCAGGTTTGAAAGTCATAATGATGAACTGCGTTTGTCTTCCCTAGAGTCAGGTTCAGTTTACAATCATTTATTTACATGTCCACCCAAAACAGACTTTTGAAGAACGGATTTTCTCCAAATGCCTAATGTGTCACAGTAATGATTACAGTTCTACTATGGATTTTTTTTGGAGGGGCTGGGGTGGCTCTGCTTTGCTAAACAACAAACACAGTGAAGCTTCTAGAAATCTCTACAGACCAGAAAGAGGAGAATTTAGCTTGGCAGTTTGGAATCATGAAATAAAAATTTATTACTTCTTTGATAACACTGTTAAGATTTTGATTTTGACTTCACACATTTCTTTTTAGGACTGAACTACTTCAAAAATTGTAGATAGTATTTCTTGGTGCATACTGCAAATTTTGTCATTTTGTGATACAGAGATTCTTAGAGTTTATTTATAATAAACAGTAATCTTGTAATGTAGCTGATATTTACAGATTACTTTAGAATTTCTACTATACTAAACTCCCTTGTAAATACTTAGTAGCGTGGAGGTCTGA